CGAGGAGCGAGTGGTGTGAAGGGGGGGTGGGGGGGTGTCAGCCTGGCAAACGCCCCCCCCCGCGTTATAACCCTCGCAGAGGAAAAGCCTGGTTATTCCTCCCGCAGGGCGCTGCCCCAGCTGGGTTTATGTGAAGTTTTCAGGTCGGGCCGCGCTCGCCGCTGGATCTCGCTGCGAAGAAGCGCCGGGCAGGCGGCGGGCACGTCGGCCGCTCCTCCGGGAGCGCAGCTACTGCTGCTCTGCGAGGGAGGGCAGGAGGAAGCAGGGCGGGAAACTCTCCAGTAACTTTCTTGGGAAGCCTCTGCTGTGACTTCGGCAGCTGAGAGACAGTGGCCTGGGTTTTTGTAATCGGGAAAAGTAGCTTACGCGTTCGCTGAGGCTTTAAGGGTTTTGTAACACACTCCTAAGAGAGGCTGTTTACTCGTCATGGGGGTTTTTTCGAGGTCCTAACTGAGTTTCTCCTCACCTATTCAATTTAAAAGTACATTAGAAAAATCCCTTCTTTGTCTGCTTGACGTAAAGAACTTTTGCATCCCGTCACTTTTCTTTTTCCCCTCTTGGAAAGGTGTTGCAGGATGTTGTGCCAAAACAACTACTGCACCACTGGATCGAGTAAAGATTTTGCTGCAAGCTCATAACCACCATTACAAACATCTAGGTAAGATGGCTGCTGCGCGTCTAATTTTTGGTGTTAAGTGCAACGTCTGTGGTTTGGGTACGTTGATCTATTTGACGATGTGGCTGATAAAAAAAAAAAAAAATGGTGCTAATCAGACAGAAGGTCTGGTCAGTCTCTGTGTCGTGTTTTGTTAGCGTTTCAAAAGAAAAACAAAGCCCTGTGCAGGGAAGTTGTGGTATGGGTCGATGTGTTAAGAGATTGAGATGTCAAAATGATCCTCGGTAAGGGATATAAGAGCTGGGCTTGACCTTCCCTTTCCTGAAGCCAGCGGGAGATTGGTAATGGCAGGGTCAAAGCTGGGACCGTTTATGATATCATCATTTAGTCACCGCTGGTAACTGCCGCAGTCCGCTACAGTGATTGCCAGTTTCCAGGGGCTGTGGGAATCGGTGCTTTTCAGAGCTTGGTAGCCCTCATGGGGGCTGGCGGTTGCAAGACAGCGACCACCGAATCCGCAAGGCTCCCCTGCGCGCCCGCTCGCAGGCAGCGGCATGGTTGATAGGAATTGAAGGTAGAAGTGGATTTGCGCTCGGCGTAAGGTGCAGGCGATCGGTGTTCGGCATCTGTGTTGCGTCATGGTGAGAGAATAAACTCGCAGTTGTCAGCATGTTCAGAACCGTTCTCTGTGGGGCTGTAACAGTGCCCTCTTGCACATCGGATTTGAGGTATTTTATGTCATATGTTCTAGAAATATAACTTAACGTTTCGAAATTTAACTGTGTTACAGTTGTCAGGAAAAAATAATCGTTTTGAGTTGGTTAAGTTTACATGTAATGAATCTTTGGAATTTTTAACTTAGAGACTAAAGATAGTTGGTTGTGGTTTTTTTTTTAAAGGCTGGAAAAATAAATTTTGAAACCAAGTTCAAGGGCTATATATTCACTTCACTGTACCAAAAAGGGGAACGCAAGTAACGTGGTGTTTTGGTAACACCGCCACATAAGTATGCACGCAAATCTGCAGTCTAAGAATGGAAGGCTGAAATAATTGGTTTGACTGATATTTTAAATCCTTATTTTCTGTTTGCTTTGCACTGTGCCATAAGAAAAGAAAATTGCGTGGATGGGATACCTGTAAGTGCAGAGACACGATGGATTTGTTCATCAAATGTTTTTACTGCCCTAGCTCTGTGGAGTTGGTGCCACATGGATCTCAGAGCATGTGTTTTAAGAAATAAGAGAAACTCATCGTTGCAGGGTAGAGAGAAATTCTAATCATAAGTATTTTCAGAGGCACGTAGTAAGTGTGACATCTTAAAAATACATTTAATATTCTTCAAACCCCAGAAACTAGTTAATACTTGTTTTATTTAAATTTCAAAGTTTGTCAACTACTCTTCTGCCTGAAAGATAAATGTGTAAGCCTTTTTCATGTTCAGCTCTTACATTAAGTAGTTGCCTATGAATGGAAATAAAGTTTATTCCTTTGCAAAAAAAAAAAAAGTCAATTTGATAGCAATACTGCGTAACTAATCATATGTTTATAATAAAACTGTAGGTTTTGCCCAAACTTTGTGTGGTCTTGCATTATTTCCCACCTATTAAAAGGGAATAGGATTGCTTCTTGTTGCAACAACTCTGGGACAGGAAGGGTGAGATCTTTAAGTTGTAAGTAATGAAAGTCTTAAACTTGTTCACTTTTTTCCCTTAGTGATGGTGTTTCATCTGTAATTCAGCATGTAGCAATATTAGATTGTTTTCCCATGGTTTTAGATTTTGAAGCATTTATTTATTTATTTTGATTTGACTGAATTGCAAGACAAACCCTTTCCCTCCTTGTGTTGCTGGCATTAGCTTCTGCGGGTGGGTAGTATCATCTGCAGCAGGATTGCTTGCAGCCCAGGCAAGGCTCGGGGCCTGAAATGCATGAATTCAGGAGGAGGTCCGCTGGGTCTGGGAGGTGAGAAAGCTGATAACACTTAACCTCCTCCTTCTGGCAATGTTTGGGCACTGAAAGTGGATTTTCCACTCTCCATAGTTACATGAGTAACATGAGCCAGCCTTAGTTCTATGCATACTTTCTTATTGTCAGTAATATTTGCTTGATTTTTTTTTTTTTTTTTCCCCCCCTCCCCTCAGTGTAATTGTTCAATACTTCTTTTTGTATTGCTGGCAGGAGTGTTTTCTACACTGTGTGCTGTCCCCAAAAAAGAAGGTTACCTGGGGCTGTATAAAGGAAACGGGGCAATGATGATTAGAATCTTTCCATATGGCGCCATTCAGTTTATGGCATTTGACCAATATAAAAAGGTAGTGGAATTTGTTTTGTTTTCCTTTTCTTTTTTTTTTCTGGCCACAATGAATACAAATTCTTTAAGTGATTGAAATTAACACTGAAACTTTTGTGTCTTTTATTAATTAGCTGCATGTCTTTTCTAAGGTTGTTTAATTTTATCTGAATCTACCTATTAAAAATGTGAGGGCAACAGTGAAACTGTTTGCAGTGTTGCTTAAGGAAAAAAAATCTCACTGATTTTTGTACCTTTGTATTGTTAAGAATAATACTTTTTTTTTTTTTTTTTAATGGAAGAAAAAGGTAGTCTAAAGTCGGCTGCTATTTGTAGTGCTATGAGGTAGCCCTTTGTGAATAACATCAAATGGAACCTCTTTATTATGTTGTATTGGGATTTTTAGTACTTGATGGATGGAACAACTTAAACTTGAAATTCTGTCTGGATATGACTGTTATATTTGACCTGACAAATGACTATGTCAGGCTCTAGATAAAAATGACCTGGAAGAAAAAATGCTCATTTCAGGGTCCCGCAAGATTTGTGGATTCCTTTCTGCTCTCATGCATTTACTCTTTCGAAATAAATACATAATAAATCCCTGCAACATCTTTTGGAGGTCAGGTGTTAGCACGAACATGTTTTTAAACACTGCTTATATGTGGTGAAAAATACTATTTTACTGTTAGCGACGAGGAATTCTGTGTTTGAAAGGTCAGATTTAGCACCCCGTGAAGTAAATTGCATGATCTTTACTGAAGACAGTGAGATTAAAATTGTGATTCCCTTCCCTAAAAGGCGAATGTCAGAAGGCTGCTGTAAAGAAGTAACTGTAATGAGTTTCATATGTTCTTTTTTTTTTGTGGTGTAATCATAAATGCTGTTGATCTATGCTTGTTTTACGTTGTGTTGAATAAACGACTGCATGCCATGCTTTATAATGAAATGATTTATGAATCTGCAAATTTCAAGAAACCGTTTAGCATCATAGCAGGTTTTTTTATCTCTTAGTTGACAACAAACATTCAAGATATTTTGAGGGAATGTGTAAAAGGAAAAAAAAAAAAACCAACCCAATTCTTAAAGAAGAAAGATACAAAATTATCTTCTTTATAGCAGAAACTGCTTCTTAAGTAGTTTCAGTTATTTGGCAAAAGCCCGGAAACTTAATTTCTAACTTCCTTCCAGGATGCAATGCAACTGAGGAAGTTCTTGCTCTTAAATACGTGTCTGATTTCTACCTTTTTTTTTTTTTTAAAAATCCCATTAAACAAAGTCTTAAAAATATCTTTTTAGGAGTACATTTCACATGCTGAGCATGGAAGAAAAATTTACTCTTGAATGTCTCACTTTTCAACTTTGCTCAGTGTCCTTTGCTCTCTATCATGCAACAAGGATAGTATGCCGTTTGCCTTGTTTGACACACATTAAAGATAGCTAAATAAACAATCTAGTTTCTGAAGCAAACTACAAATACTTTCAACTAATAGTTCTGCCTTGTTAGTAGAATTTCAGCACTTTCATGTTTTTAATAAGAAATTGGTAACAGCAGTAATGTTCAGAAAATTCTTTTAACAGAATTAAGTGCTCTGGTTTGAATTTGTAGTGTTGTAAACTTCTTGGAAACAGCTACAAAGTTTGCTTTAATGTGTTAATAAACTGTGTGATGTACTTCCCTGTGTTTTCTGATATACAACTATTGTAAATGTTCCGTATTTTGTAGGTAATAAAGAAGCAACTTGGGATTTCAGGGCATGTGCATCGATTAATGGCTGGATCCATGGCAGGTACAGTTTTGTACTTGGATTTCAAACATCCCTTTTGCTGAAAAGTTAATATTTGTTTAGAGAACGATTTGATGTTTTTTCAGGTCAAACTGCTGCAAATTTGTATTAAGCAAAAATACTAGTGAATCGTTAATGTAACAACTAGTTGCCTAATTGAAAACTGTTTGTCCAAGAGTATTCTTTGAAATGTATTTGTTCAAGCATCGAATTCTGTGCTATGTTGTAAAGCACATTTTTTAGCGTTTATTGTGGCTTTTAAAAAATGAAAAATACAGTGTCATCAAGATGAAGTATAAAGATGCAGGTTTTAGTCGAATAGGCTCATCAGCCTGTCTGCCATTGCTGCTAGGTTGAATATACGCCCATAGAAATAGAGAGAACTGCAGCTCCTTGGATGGGTGGATTCTTTGGATTTGTCAGAAGTGTCTGTAGTTTTCAATATCCAACACAAGTTTGTCATGATATTCTTCAGAGCCTATGCGTGAACATTAAAAAACATCATTTATCAATAGTGCAATAGCAGTAGGAAAACCTACTTGTAACTGCCAGTATATAGTATGATTATATATTTCTGTTTTCCTCTTGCTAGTCATTCAGCCAAAAGTAGCTAAGAAAAACAGGGAAAGGTAAGTAATAGTGGACTGATTTTTAATAATCAAGGTAGTTCTTCATGTGCTTTTACTTTGTAAAACAGTCTTAATCCTGTCTAGCGACAGTCCTTAAATAGTTATGAAATAAGTATTAATATTTAACCTCTTTTGCAATAAAAATACTGGGGTTTGTTAATACTACTACCTCTAGTTAAACTAGGAAGACCTCATGAAAGTATTTTGGCTTTGCATGCCATCAGATGAAAAGGAAAGACAATTAAATGAAACAATTTAAAGAGTCTAAAAACTAGTTGAACCCATTTGGCAAGATATGTACCAGAACTTGGCTGGCTTTCTATCTGAAAGAAGGGAAAAAAATACATAAGTTTTTTTTGTTTCTTTTTTTCTTTCTTTCCCTGGCTTTAACTGTACTAAAGAACACTTCATAGTTTTTTTTTTTTTTCCCTGTAAGCTTATTATGAGCTTTTTCAGGAGCCTTGTCAGAGATCTGGAACCTGACCTGTGAGGCACTGTGAAAACATTGAATAATCAGCTTAACTCTGTCAGTGTTGGACATGCTGGGATTCTTTGTGTAGATAAATTGATAGCATCTGGCATTGTTGTAAGCACCTTACTGGTTAAATCTGGTTTGTGTGGTTAGCATAATACAAATAAAATTAATATACAGTACCATCTGGAAACTGATCAAATGCTTTGTGTGGTGCATTTAAGTACAACATACTCAGTGGTCTGGTATTGAGAACCCCAAAACTGAGTAGATGAGCTAGGCTTAGGTGTGCAGTGAAATGAATGTAGCAGTCGGGTATAGTAATAGTATTGCATGTGAGTGTTTTACTTTTTTTTTGCTAGGTGGCATTGACTGTTTTTTGGGATATTCATTAGATAAGTAAGAGGGGAGAGTTTTTATTGAGTATGCCAAGAAGATATAGGGGGGGAAGGAGGCGCTAAGAAGAGCATAGCGTTTGAAATCCAATACAGAAATTCACTTGGTGGATAAGGAATTGGCTGGATGGTTGCACTAAGAGTTGTGGTCAATGGCTTGATGTCCAAGTGGAGACCGGTGATGAGTGGCATTCCTCAGGGGTCTGTATTGGGACCGGTGCTGTTTAACATCTTTGTCAGTGACAAAGACACAGACAGCAGGATTGAGTGCACCCTCAGCAAGTTTGCTGATGACACCAAGCTGTGTGGTACGGTCAACATACTGGAGGGAAGGGATGCCATCCAGAGGGACCTGGACAGGCTTGAGAGGTGGGCCTGTGTGAACCTCATGAAGTTCAACAAGGCCAAGTGCAAGGCACTGCATGTGGGTCAGGGCAATCCCAAGCACAAATACAGGCTGGGCAGAGAATGGATTGAGAGCAGCCCTGAGGAGAAGGACTTGGGGGTGTTGGTTGAGGAGAAGCTCAACATGACCCCACAATGTGCGCTTGCAGCCCAGAAAGCCAACCGTACCCTGGGCTGCATCAAAAGCAACGTGGCCAACAGGTCGAGGGAGGGGATTCTGCCCCTCTGCTCCGCTCTGGTGAGACCCCACGTGCAGTACTGTGTCCTGCTCTGGGGCCCCCAACATAAGAAGGACATGGACCTGTTGGAGTGGGTCCAGAGGAGGGCCACAAAGATGATCGGAGGGCTGGAGGACCTCTCCTATGAAGACAAGCTGACAGAGTTGGCGTTGTTAAGCCTGGAGACGAGAAGGCTGCAGGGAGACCTTATAGCAGCCTTCCAGTACCGGGAAGGGGCCTACAGGAAAGCTGGAGAGGGACTTTTTACAAGGGCATGTAGCGTTAGGACAAGGGGTAATGGCTTTAAACTGAAAGAGGGCAGATTGAGATTAGATACAAGGAAGAAATTCTTCACTATGAGGGTGGTGAGGCACTGGAACAGGTTGCCCAGAGAAGTTGCTGGTCTAGTGGAAGGTGTCCCTGCCTGTGGCAGCGGGGGTGGAATGAGATGATCTTTAAGGTCCCTTCCAATCCAAACCATTCTATGATTGTAAATTCTCTAGACTTGCAAACAAAATAAGAGAAGACTCTTAAAAGCAATTGGTAATATTTCTTGCTGTAACTCCTGTGGCTTAGTTGCCTGATGGCTCCAATAAGAGATGTTATTTTGTTCCAAGTTTAAATGACTAAAGGGGACGGTGTGCTGCATGCACCCCAATGTTGGAGAGGGATCTTCACGGTTTCCTGCAATCCAATATTATGCAGTTGAAAACGGATAGCCCTTGTTTCCCTTTCCTTTTTGTCCCCTCTTCACTATCTAGCCACACAGCTGTCTGCTTTCACTTCTGTGTATGTTACTGATACTTAAATCTTGCTTATGTCAGTGTTTCCAACATTACTAGCAGTCAACAGACCTGAATCAGTTTCAAGGTGGTGGGAAACATTTGAGCATCTTCTGTGCTGATAAACAGGATCAAAAGCATATCCACAGGGAACAACAAGGCAATGAGGATGGGGGTAGTGGAGTGAGAGAAAACAAGAACCTATTGTAATGCATATATTTAAGGAGGCCAAGTTAAAGTTACTGTGGAAACTTTAACTCTGAATTTCCTGAGCCTTGTGTGATTCAAATTTCAGCTGTAACACCTCATTAACAGTTAAATGGTGTATAACTTCTTTTAAGGGAAGAGAGCTGGGGAGAAGATAGAGAGATCATAGAGTTCAGTGGGGTTTAGGAAACAAAATTATCAAATAACTCCTGTATCACAGGATGATTTTGCAAATCTAAGTAATTTTTTAGTTTTCTAATTGAAAAATCTGAATTAAAACACACAAATGTGTGTTTCTTCCCCTGCACTTGATTAACTTAAAAATAAAAGCCAAAAAAGACTAGATGTTATCTAGAATAAACTCAAGTTTCACGAAACTGTTACAGAAAGCATGGTTTTGTTTTTATCTTTTAGTAAAAGCAGTTGGAAAACAGTACTGATCTAGGAGGATACTGCTATCTCAATTTTAAATAGTACGTAATTAACAGTTACCTAGTTGAGTCAACATTTTAGAAGAATCTGCACTGTTTATTTCCTCAGGTGCAATTCAGAAAGAAACAATTATATACTGGAGGTCTAGAAATATTAGGACTTGTAAATCGGGCTTTACATGTTCTTTTACCCGTCTGATAAATATTCCTTGTTATCAGCTATTTCTCTGTATGTATGGTTCCTGAAACTTTGTTTTGTTCAAAGATGCTTCCTTGATAAATTGATATACTTTATACTACTTAAGGAACATATCTTCTGCAGTTCAAGGCTGTGACTCGTGCTTATCACTTCTGGAACTGTATAGCTCTGAATCACCTGGTAGTACTTAATTTGATCTACGTAGTTATTGATAAAGTACAGAGAGCATGATACAGAAATCATGAAAACTTCTGTATCAGATATGTTTGCAGTACCTGATCTTTGTAAATGCATTTCACTTGGTTTTTTTTCTTGCTCCAGATGTTTTTCTATTTTTATTTTCAAAGAAAGAAAATTACTAAGTATGGAGGAATAATAGGGAAATTGGGATACAGTGATAAAACCCTATACAGCTAATCTCATTGTTAAGTCTCAAAGCCTGGGAAGCAAATCAAGGACAGTCTAATTCCTGTTGTGCTTCATTGACGCTGAGTCTCAGTAAAGGTCTGTGTAACCCTGTATCTTGTCTTCAAGAGTGGTCAAAGGTGCTTGAGGACAACATGGTAAGTGAAGAATCAGTCTTTCCCTGATTTCCTTGACTTCTGAGTCAGCATTTGCAATGAAAAAATCTGCTGTTTTTGAAGAAGTGGTTCCTTAGAGGAGGGAGGAGCTACATTGCTCTATTATGATTATTTCAGGTCAGACATTGGGAATTGCAGCATGTATCCCTTAGCTGTCGAGATACGTCCAATTCTGGCCTGTTTAACCAACTATGGGAGAGATTTTTGGCTCAACTCTCATTATTTGGGATAGACTTTGCTTCCTCAAGACAGGGAATCAGCCTTAAGATGCTGTGGTCTGACTTCTGATAACTCATAATCTTAGGGAGTAGAGATGAGAATAGTAATTTTATAGACTTCACCACAACAACTTTGGGTCCCAAAGCTGGCCGCCATTCCTCCCAGGAAGGATGGTGTCTCTTCCCAAAGGAAATCGTGGTCCCTTGTATGTACGTTTTGCTTATATGAACATCAAGCAGTAACATGCCTCTCCCAGTTGCTTCAAGAAAGCGTTATTTTGTGGCTGAAGTCAGAAATCCTTTTTTTTTTTTTTTTTTTTTTAAGAATTCATGGCTAAAGGATTTTAAGAAAAAGTAAAAAAAAAAAAAAAACCAAAACAAATCAAGACCCTATAGCCCTATTTAAATCCTTACGACATATGGGTTTTTTTCAGTTCTGTCTTTGTTTGTTTGTTTGTTTGTACTGTTTTTGGACTGTGATCGCTAGTTAGTGCATTCACCAAGCTCTTGGTTGATCTGTTTGCTAGTCTTTGTTCAGAGAATATTCCTGGATACGTGTCCGTGCATGATTGGGAAGAAAAGGGGGATCAAGTTGTCTGTTTTCTGAAGTGGGATGACTTTCCTGTGAACTCTTAAGCTCTGTAAAAGCTTTTTCCCCCTCTTTTATTTTTTTAAAATGCTTGAATTTATCCATTTTACAATATTTCTGGACATCTCAGGCAATCCATTAGGAAAAGACTGTAGTCTGAGGGATTGCATTTAATAGTGTGGGTTGGTGGAAACAGCCCTGAAGTTGCTTTTTGGTGTTTTGCAGCTTCCAACTTTTGAACCCTATGGGTGACATAACATCAGAAATCAACTGCAGATGTCTGCTTTTTGTTCAGAGGAATCCTCCAAAATCTCTGAACGAGATGTTTTTGTCTTCTAAAATAAATTACTGGTAGGATACTCTAGAAGGCCATAAACTTTACTCTCAATTGACAGTTGACTGGTGTCAGCTTTTTGGATAGCTCACTTAAGGGTGTTCATTTTGTTTTTTCCTCCCCATCTGATCCTGGTACCTTCTGTCAGATGGTTCAGCTTACTGAAGTTGCTTTTTTTTTTTTTTGTCTCCAGATGTAAAAGTTACGAAGAGTTTGTTTGCTGGAATTGTGTTGTGTTTGGGTGTTATTGTTGGTTTGGTTTTTTTTTTTTCCCTCCTCCCTGTTGTGGTTTTCTCTTGACCTTGTGGAAGGGAGGGGTAATGATACATCTACAAAAAGAGATATTGTTAAGAGACTATTAAAATCTAAGAGGAAGTGGCAATTTCCTGCCAGCATAAAAAGTGTGCTTGTCTTCTGTAGGACCAGTTTTTAAGGGTGATGTTTAGCTAAGTCAGAATGACTGCTAGATATCAATCATAAAGGTTTTTGCTTTCTTTTTTTTTTTCTTTTCCTGGTATTTTTTTTTTCCTTCTTCCAGTGAGGGTGGTATACCACCAGAAAATGACCTCTGCTTTTAGTAAGCAGTTTTAACTATTCCCTCCAAATAATTTGTCAGAGATTGAATGGTTTACCTCAAAAATTAGCAGTAGGGAAGAGTTTGTTATTCAGGTAGGTGTTAAGAGTTGTTCTCTGTACTGGTGTTCTGTTTTCAAAATCACAAGTTGGCCAGCATCTAATTAGTTTTGAAGCAGTTCACAACTGGATGAATCCTAAGATTTTTTTTTTTTTTTTTTTTTTTGGCATCTTCAGTCTAGAAATAGCTTTTTTGGTCAGAGATTTAAAACAGAAGTGCTGGTGTAATATGAACTATTAAAGTGCAGTAATCCAATGCAATTAATTACTCTTCATCAGTATGATCATGACTTCATTTTAGATGTCATTAGAATGTATTTAGTATTTTCAGATGCAGTAGATAGATATGCGTATCCATATGCAGTAATCGCATCAAATTCTACACAGCCTTTTTGAAATTAAACATGTACATTTGGTGGTTTGATTTTATTTATTTTTTTTTTTAAAGATATTGGTAGGATTAGGTTTCATGGTTGCAATCCAGTAAAGCTGAGGCACTTGACTAGTCTGATGCTTATGAGCCATGGACTTAAGTAAGATTGCTCATGTGAATAAGTTAGGCTCATAAATCATAAATCCTTGGAAAATCAAGGCCTGGGTGTGCAGCTTCAGTGAACACCAAGTGTAAACATAAATCCTTAGTGTGATGCTGAAGTTAGTGTTCCTATTTGCTGATTATAAGTGACGTTTAAGTGTTTCTTTAACAAAATAATTTGTATATGCTATTATATTCACTGCCACAAAAGGAAATTCTAATTTTCAAAATAATCCTAGAATCAGATAAGGTGTAGGTGAGTTTTGTTTGCTTGTTTTGTTTTTGTTTTTAATAAAGGTATTACAGCAGTGATTTGTACTTACCCTCTTGATATGGTTAGAGTTCGTCTGGCGTTCCAAGTAAAAGGGGAACACAAGTACATGGGAATTATCCATGCATTCAAGATGATTTACACAAAGGTATTTTTTCTTTTAATCTTCAGTCCTGTCAAAGCAAAATATGCTCTTTAAAGAATGTTGCACTGCATTGAAAATAGTGGCTTGGTGGAAAATAACGTGACTTCATTGCGTGCACACTGAATTTTTTAATGTAAAAAATTATCTGGATGCTTCCTTCTACTTAGGCTGCTAAGATGTAGCTAAGACTCATATAAGTGGGAGGTCAAAAACAGCAGAGAGAAGTTGTTTTTCAAGAACAAGTAGTAATGATACAAAAAAATGTGGGGAGGAGGGATATGTATAATGCAGAAATGTCTGCTAGATTATGATCCTGGATGTAGATTTTTCTCCTTCATTTTCACTTCTTTATCTTCTATGGAGCCAGGCAGTTGTTCCCTCAGTTCTTCAGGCACAAGAAATGGAACTTGATGTTAGCTCCTTGGTGCCAGATGATGCTAGTCAGATATTGCTGTCAGGTGGATCTGTATGAACATGAACAGTCGTATAACTTGTTAAGACAGTTGTTGTATTTCTTGCCACAAATGTACTTGTATTTTTCTTTCAAAGGAAGGTGGTTTTAGTGGGTTCTACAGAGGGCTGATGCCAACTGTTGTAGGAATGGCACCATATGCGGGTAAGTTAAAAACAGAACGTGGCAGTCCTTCGGCAGTTATGTGTCCTACTAAGTTCACGTAATATATTTGCACAGCTAGTTAATTAGCTTCTGTTAAAATCAAGGATTCTGTTTTTTAACGAATGGAGAGGGGAGGCCAGTAGAAGCATTTGCAGCAGATCAGTTCTAGATTGAGACTAGTGTGTTAAAGCATCTTCAACAGGCAAAGCTGAGATTTTCTGAAACTCGGAGTTGAGAGGGAGCGAGGTAAAGTAATGGTTCTTTCTCTTCTGCTTCCCAGTTTTCCCAGGAGAAAGCATGTAGGGTATTTCTCTCGAACAGGTAGATCCATGAGAGAGCAAAGTGCTCTATAGATGGAGGCTTAGAGCCTCTGTATTGGCTCCATCTCCTGGTGACTTTTATGTAAATACTTACACAAGCTAAAGGTGACGTGGGGGACGTGGGATGGAGGAACATCAGAACTGCCCAGCTAAACTACGCTCATATTTAGAAGATGAGAGATGTTCTTCAGTTAAAAAGATCTTAGGAGTTACTCTTAACAGCAATCCAGTTATTTAAACCCCACAGCCTAGCTTATTGAAATCATTCATTAAATGTTAATTGTAACCACTAATTCAGAAGTTACTGTAGAAGTTCAAAATATTATTTGTCTATTTCTTTCTGCTTAAGAAAAACTTCTAAAGGAATTGGGAAATTGTTTCATTTTGTAATTACAGCTTTTTTGTTTATACTGATGATGCATCGACAAATAGCTTGCTTTTTTATGAAAGTACATAAAATTAAATTTCCTTTTAGGTTTTTCATTTTTTACCTTTGGTACCTTAAAGAGCATTGGACTTGCTCAAGCACCTAACTTGCTTGGACGGCCTTCATTAGATAATCCCGATGTCTTAGTTTTGAAAACACATGTAAATCTGCTGTGTGGTGGCATAGCTGGAGCAATAGCTCAGACGATATCGTAAGTTTGGGTATTATTTGTTTGTTTTTTTCTATATAGCAGTACATACCAAAGAAAGTTTTATCTGAGAACATGATTTTATATAAGTCTAGTAATTAGTAAGGTTTTTAGGTCAGGTTAATCAGATGCTGGAATTCAGTTATTTCCTATTGTTTCATTTACTAAATATCTATTTAATCTTCGGAGTCTTTAAAGATATATGCACTGAGTCAATTAAACAAATTCAGACAAATCTCCTAAAATCAGTTGGAATCTTGTTTGGTAAGCTATGAAATTTTGACTGAACATGATTTGCAGAATTTTATTATTCAAATTTATTTTGAAAACAAGGTAACCTGTTTAAAATTTAAAAAAAAAATTAAAAAGAGAAAAAATAAGTCTTTGAACATAATTTGCAGAATTTTATTATTCCAATTTATTTTGAAAACAAGGTAACCTGTTAAAAATTTAAAAAAAAAAATTAAAAAGAGAAAAAATAAGTCTTAGATTATTGTATTTGGCATAAATTTTTTTTATTACTTTGCCTGCTTTCTCCATTCTCATGCTGTCCTTGTCATATTTTGTTTTGCCCATAAAATAAATTTATTTAATGGACTTATATGGCATCAGTTTTTCACTAAATCACTGCATTACAAATGTCATTTTCTATTAATCCTTAAACTGTTAATTTTATTTTCGATTCAGGTGTCTTCTCCCTCCAGCGTTTTACAGACTGTTTTATACTCTCATCTGATCTTCATGTGTCTTCCTTACTCGTGCCAAATGGAATATATTAAGAGATCTCATTTGCTGATTTTGGTTGTATAGGGGAAGTCTCCCTTTTCGGAGAACTTTCAGCTGTGTTGAGAATCTGAGCCGGATTCCTGACTCACTGAAAAGGGAGCTTGGAGGTTACACATGGACTTCTTTGTATTCTTTTTTTAAACAATATTCATACAGTCATCACGCATCTGGTTGATCTGCTGTTCAAATATCTCCTCTGTAGATATCCCCTTGATGTAACTCGTAGGCGAATGCAGTTAGGAGCGGTTCTCCCAGACTCTGAAAAGTGCCTGTAAGTATTTTCTTTTCATCCTTAGTAACTGAATTCTTAGATGTCTGAGCAAAGTTAAATTTTTAAGTTCAAAATAAAAAAAAAAAAAAAATGCTGTTGATTTCTTTTCTTTTAGCAAATAAGTTTCCACACAGACAAAAACTGCCATTATCGCTCTGAGGTTAAAAAGAAATAACTAAAATCACAATGGCACTTTTGTTACTAATAGAGAGTGTGTGTATATATATATATAGTATATATACAGAGTTTTTTATATTTTAACTTGACTTGCGATGTCTGTCTTTGATATCAGCAGGATCCCTAAGAGAGACTGCATGCTTTTACTGAAATGAAATGTTTCAAAGTGTTTTTTAATGGTGCAGAATCTGTTCCATAAGATGATTTTACATAACTGTTTTATTTGACCTTTCTTGCATTTACAGTAATGTCCCACACCCCACATGTAGTTGGGGTTGTTCAGGGTTTTTCAGTCACGTGCTTCAGTCCAGTAGAAGTGGAAGAAGTACCATAACATCCTTAAAATCATAGTATTAAATTGGCTCTCATCTTGAAAAACTTTCTGAATTTCAAATTGCCTCAACCAAATTCAATTCCAGGACAGTGGAATTGCGTATGTCTGAATCCAGCATGATGCAGCGTGAACCTCCTGCATGGCAATAACAGTAGTCTGTCTTAGTGACCTTTGATAAACAACATAGGTGTTGCTTGCTGTGAAAGTTGCTGTTCTGTTTTCCTTAGCAGCCTTGGCTATTTTCCACTCCAGATACTTTTTACCCCTTTCTTGGGGTTTTACTTTCTGCATTTGTGAGAACTACCTTTACAGAGGTGGGGCTTCCCAATTTAACAATATTGTTGTGACCCTGTTTGGAGAGAGCTGTGCCTTTAAGGAGAGTAGACATATATATCTGTAGAGGATGAGAGGATAAAAAAAGTAGGAAATCTCGAAACTTTGAGGTATATGGAAGATGTTCTCCAGCGTCTTTAATGGCTTGGAAATACTGAGCACCTTACAGATTTTTACTCAAGGGCTTTGCATTTAATGTCCATTTGCTCAGTTGCAATATAAGTATGCGAGGAAAATCATTTTCCTTGCATGTATACTACAAATTCTGCTTTTAATAAGGTAAAATATTATATACTTATACAAATCCTAGCATTTCTCTTTTGAGAAAACAGCAGGCCTGTGTCATAGTGGAGGAAACTATGCACATGCAAGATGTAGAGCACAATGTTAAACATAGATTTTATATGCAGAGCTTTAGAAGGAGGGGTTTGATCCTGTGCTCAAAGACAGTGGGATACAAGCCCTAAATACTGACCTTTCATGCAAGAAGTATGTGCTACGTTGGGCAAATTATGTTTCTGTTCCTCTGTATTACATTTGTAAGAAGAATTGATGCTTCTCAACTCCTTCCCGCCAGAGGCAACAGAATATCCATAGCCATCTGGTGTAAAATGTCTTATTGTGTCTTTTAGGACAGGTATTTTCAGACTGAAACTTCCTTAGATGGGATTGCATTGTCATTTTTCCAATTCCCAGCCATTGTGCCCAGATTTCTTGCAGAAGCTCAGACCATCTTTTGAGTCCTAAAAGGACCATAATACTTTGCTGTATGGAGTCCCATGGGTTTTTCTGCTTAGATCTCTTAAGAACCAAGTAAAACAAGTGTCTTGTGTTTAAAGAAAGTGATTTTGACTATTGAATATGTGTATCCAATAATGATTTGAGTTCTTGTTTTTCCAGTACAATGGTGCAGACACTGAAATATGTGTATCGGCAACATGGGATACGAAGAGGATTATACCGTGGTTTATCTCTAAATTATATTCGTTGTATTCCTTCCCAGGCTGTGGCTTTTACCACATATGAACTTATGAAACAATTCTTGCACCTCAACTAATTTTTTTTTTTAAGACTTTCCTGTAAAACTACACTATCAGTCCTCAAATTGTATTGGTGAGTAAATTACTTGAAGTTTAAAAAAAGCTATCTGTTTTTGTTACTGTGGAACTGCTGTCGTCTGACATTTTTATTCACCAAAATGTGGTTAATTTCCTGGAGTCAAACCAGGAGACAGATCAAAATAAACATTAGTTAGTTATAAACATTTTTTTGCACTTGATCTTCTAGGCTTCATTAGATTAATGTTAAGAATTACACAGTTTTAAAATTACACCCACATTTTATACAGGTTTCAAGCTGTTCGTTATTTAGCTTTATCACCATTCCAGGAGTTACACACATGGTTATATTGCTTTTTAAGCTAGTAGTTAGGCATCTGTTCTTTTTTAAAAATCAAATTGAATAAATAGACTTGAAAAAATGCAATGATTTTTCATATTCAAATACTTGCCAGCTCTGTAGAAGCTGAACTCAGCAGACCACAACTTAAGCATCTTTTTGTTCTTTTTCTTGTACAAGTTCTCTGTATGCAAGAACAACGCGTGTATCTTCAGATTGGTACATATGGAAGCCTCTTCAATCATTTCAATAAATAATGAAAAGATGTATTTAACTTCAGTAGAAATCTTGCAATTTGGAAACCAGTTTCTTGGCATAGATTCTATTCTAAAAAATGCTGTATCTACACAAATAACACCAGGGGGAACTTCTAGAGTGACAAGTGCTAGAAAAGATCTCCTTAAGGCAATTAGTATAAGCCTAATCTTACAAGGCATTTCTGTACCTATTCTGTGGAGCTGAATGTTCTCAATTTAGTTTACTGAAGGCTGAGTATTTTATGTACTTCTCAGTACTAGCTCATGTAAACAGGTTTGTCCCTACTTTAAAACACGGTGACAAACAAGACTGCATGCTGCTGCATTTACTTATTTAGGCATATGGACCATATTCAACCTCCTGCGCAAGAAAAGAAAACAAAGATTGTACTGGAGTCTATAAGTGTGTATATGTACCGTTTCTAAAGTATGGTATGCAATAGACTATTACACGTCTTTGTCCTCCTACAATTCCTTTTGTAGAGAGAATTATGTTCCAGATTTGTTTATACATGATTTGCATTGGTACTCTTGATTTTACTCACTTGATTCAGGAAACTGTAAAGCATTTACTTTAAGTGATGTAAGTTATTTATTTATTGTAAATATTTTAGCAGCATCTTTTAAGAATTGGTAGTGGTTCTGTTAAGTGGTGGATGGTAAGATCGAATTGTTTAATTTTGACAAACTGGATTTTGAGTTATATATTCAATACCAACTTTGGTGGCTCAATTTTTTTTTTCCCAGTTTCTTAAAAGTATGTATTTCTTTGATATTTAGCAATGTAGCTATGGACAGAGAATGAGATGTATTTGAATTTATTTTATTAAAAATTTTCAACTAATGTCTTTGTGTGATTTGTATGTGTTGCAGCCAGAAAGAATACATGTTTCTGAAATTATCTGTATGTTTGCCCTTGTAGGTAAATCTGCATAACATTGTCATTCGTACTTAAGAGAGAACAAACAAGTTTTTTTGGTCTGATCTTTAGTTTCACTTAAAGGAAAACTAACAAATGGCACAGTGAATCCCCTCCTTCCCTGAAAAAGTAGAGTGCAAGGCACTTGTTATAAGCCTTCTTTTATGTTTGCAACTCAAACCAACTATCTTTGTTCAATTCAAACCGGTATAAGAGAAAAGATCTCTCTGCTTGGTTTACTGTGGTGTTTTTTTCTGTGCAATGAGTGTGTCTGTTCAGCTCTGCGATCTCTGCTTCAGTGACAGACTGTCCCTGAGCATCCTCAGAGTGGATCCCAGGGCACCTTTGGGTGCTGTTTGGCATTTTGCCTCATCCAGGGTAGATGGACTAGATACCATGATGCTTCCAGTGATCTGATGAAAGGTTAACCCACCAAAAGAAATTAATAGATTTTATTGCCGTCACCTTACTGAACCAGCTTGGGCTGTGGCTGCGTGCTTGCTAGATCTGATGCAAGGTAAATTTAATCTCAGATTTAGCTTTGGGAATAAACTTGCTACCTGGGGTGGCAGCAAGCAGGTATATATTACTGAGTCAGTTGCTGGGGAAGATACAGCTGTAGGTTCCCCTCATAGGTTTCCCTGATTAAATCTGTGGCCTAAAAAATGGGGGCATATAAAGCATGTTAACTGTAAGTATAGACAGCTAACTCCCTGTTTGTCATTGCCTTGTGATAACTTTTTGACAATAAATTTCTGAATATACACAGTTGAAACATGATGGAGAATGCTGATATATCTTAAAATTGTAAGAACCTTTTTCTCAACCACTGATGCTAGAAAGAATTAAAAGAGCCATAGTCTGAACACTTTAGTGCGACTTTTGGTGCTAATGTAAGGTTTGGTACTTTTCTGCATTTCACAGACTCTTTGTAGAGATTCCCCAGACTGCTTGGATTTTAGCTAACCTCAAAAAAATACTTAAAGCATGTTTTGTACTTTAACCATATTCTGTTAAGATACACACTAGAAAAGAAATGAGATGCATAGGCAACATGAAAGAGACTACAGAACACAAGGTTATCAAGTGTACAAAGTAGAAGTATTTATGCAATCTCTTCTAAACCATACCAAATTAAGTGACTGACTCTACATTTAATAGTAGTGACATATAACGATTAAATCAGAAGTTGGCTTATATTGGAGGTTCTGCAATGGAAAGCAAAACAAATGTAGTTTGCTGCATGTATTTCAGGACTATCCCAAAGAAAAGTGTCTAATTTAAGTATTTTTCTCACCTTTTAAGATTCAAGCTTTGATCCTTCTGTTGGGATGTCTAACCATGGGCCCAAACCGTCTTCTCTGCAGGACTAGAGCCTCATACTGTTTCCCAATGTTTGGCTACATTAAAGAGATACAAGACCAAACTCTTAATACATAATTTTCCTGACATTTAAACTACAGAACAGTCATACTGATGTATTAAGAATAGATTTAATACCTGTGGCCTTCAATCTGTGATAGAAGTGTGGGTCTGTATCTGTGGCCTTCCATCTGTGATGCAAGTGATGGGTCTCAGATCCAGAATGCTTTGCTGAAGTAGTGGTTTTGTGGCCCAAAAAAGTGAAGAAAGGAAATCTATGTATCCGAAACTTCTGTATCCCCTCAGAAAGCCTCTGTCTCTTGGTGAACGGTGCCAAATATAACAAGTTCTTATCAGAGAAAAAGTTTGACTCCCAGGTTGAGATTCACTCATAAGCAGCTGGGAGCAAAAGGCAGATTGTACCTCACACTACGCACTGGTATCAGAAGGGGGGGGCAGGGGGGCACGGTGGTAACAGCTGTGGAAATAAGCGACAGGTAGGGCTGAGGACTA